AAATGTCTGAGATTCACAAAGTTTGGGTAACTTGCTTAGGATCACACCACTAAGCTACTGACTGAGTCAGTACTAGAAATGGGCCTCCTACTGGTTGGTAAAGTCAATATTAAAAGAAATGAACTGAATCCTAGCATTTCAAAGGATGTATAAATTATTAAATTCATTTAGGTCTATTTGACGAGGCTTTAAAAAATCTCGTAATTCAGATATATTCTGATCAAAAAATAATGTACTGCAGGATTTAGATACTGATTTCCTTCCAAAGAGTTCATTAAAATATTTGATTTAAATCAAATAAAAGTGATCATTAATGATGTATTCCTGCTGACTTCTGAGGGGCTATAAATAAGTGGTACAGGGAGAATCTTGCATAAGGAATGAAGAGCTAAAGGGAAGCCACAGGAGAAATAAATGGCCCAATGGGAATGTATTTGGAATAAACTTTCTATAATAACTTTCTCAACATTTAACTTTCTCAATTTCTCAACATCTACATTTATTTTTCAGACTTATATTTTCCTTCACTTTATATATTTTCATGTAGCTTAAGATACAGGTGGATAAATGTTAGCACTGGTGGCAACAATACACTTTTATGGAAAACTAATATTCTAATTGAATATAATTAATAATAATGAATGTGATTTCAGAATCATTTAAAAATATTGAGTCTTATTTTTTGAGCTGAATTTTAAAGAATAACTGGTTGCTAAAACAAGAAAGATTTTGGATGAAATTTGGCTTTGAATGACCAGTTTTCATCTTAATAAGTTCTGTGGCCATGCTAATATATGGCTGAAAGAACTCAGGGCAAAAGAAACCAATCAATTGTGCCAAATTCATTAAGTTCAACTAACCAATATGCCAGTTTAGTTAGATAAAGCACAGTCAAATCAAATGGCTGGAGTACCAAATATGCATGTTTTTACTCAATGCTTTATGTGTAGGCTTGAACATATCACTGAGAGGGGGACTTCCAAAAGAATGCCAGAAAACCTCTCCTCTGCTCTCACCTTGTCTTTTGGCTTTGTTCTCTTGTCTCTGTGCTTTGGAACCATATAGATGAAAGGAATTGACTTCCTTCCTTTTCTGGGACTAAGGGGAGAATCAGGCTTATTATCCTTAGCTTGTTCCAAAATTGTGAATCAGATCAGACTATGAAAAATATTGATAGCAGCTGTCTGTTCCAGAAAGATAATTACATCAAAGTCTGTGTGTTGCCTTCATGTTTGATTCTTAGCATATAGAGAAATTACTGATAACAATAAGATCTAATATGTATTTTTTTTAAAAAGATTTTATTTATTTGAGAGAGAGAGAGAGAAGCCATGAGCAGGAGGGAGGAGCAGAGGGAGAGGGCAAGAAGCAGACTCCCTGCGGAGTGTGGAGCCCAATGTGGGGCTCTATCCCAGGACCCTGAGATCATGACCTGAGTTGAAATCAGACTCTTAACTGACTGAACCACCCAGGTACTCCTAGATCTAACATGTATCTTGTGCTTACTATCTATAATTACTGCTTAATGTATATAAGTTATTTAATCCTTAACACCACCTAATAAGGTAGTTCCACTTATTACCAATATTGCCATTTTCCAGCTGAAAAAATAAAGGCAGAGCAAGGTTAAGCTACTTGTTTATAAGATATTCAGCTCCTCATTGGTAGAGCTGGAATTTAAACCCATGGATTTAAAACCAAATTCTTAATCATTCCACTTTTCTTCCTCTTAATCAAAGCTCAGGTTAGAAATATTTAAAAAGAAGATAATTTATGTGAATCAAAACAAATTACTCATGGAAATAAAAACACATGCAAACTGAGAAATTTAGTAGATGCACTGAGATATTAGTCCATCTGTTTTTTTGGGTAACAATTACTGTTATTATAGCTTCTGTAAACAAAAACCTGAGATTTTAGTGTCTGAGAAATGCAGGGATATAAAACATTTTATGAGATGATATAGCCCATTCTTTATCTTAAACTCAGGATAACTAGAATAACAATCTTGAAAGTCATTCAAACTTCTGGGTTCTTTTTTCAACAAGTATTTACTTGTTAGTATTACGAACAATTTAAAGAATTTTGAGATATAGCTCTTGTCTTCATGGAACTTACTATTAGGAAAACTAGTCATTCACATGGAACATTAGATAACCATATATATCAACATAGGGTAATTAGATTTAGTTAAGTATCACAATGAATACTACCCTTGTAATCCCTTTGCTATATGTATTCAAATAGGGATAGAACTATGTGGATCATTTATGAGAAGTTTCATGAAGGAATTGAGCTTGAGTTAGAACCTGAATGCTGGGTAAGATGAAGAGAGTGATGAGGTGGGCTTACTAAGTGTGAAGTAGGATCAGCTTGATATGTTTAGGAGATAGTGAGGAGAAAGCTGTGGCTGAAATAGGTAGTGTTGAGAACAGTTAGGTGGGTAGGGTTGGGTGTACTCTTAGGTTTAGGAGTTTAAAGCAGCATAGGATTATGAGAGGTTGTAAGGGGATGTTAAAGTGTTTTAGGATGATAATAACAAAGATATGGTTCACCATTGGAAAGGGACAATCTCTTTTTAGGAGAATAGTTTATTTAGGACAATCTAGTTTAGGAGAATAGTTAAGAGACTGGAGTACAAATCCTGATATGGAACAGAAGATATGAGATAAGACGGATTGTGTGTACCTCCTGCAAAGATGTCAGTCAAGTTAACTGATATCAGGGCTATTCCCTGTGGTGGTAAGTTTACATAGATCCGAAACAAACTATATCAGAAGAGATAAGATTTCCGGAGCTCAAAATCCAAGAAGCCAAATCTATTTTCAGTTACAAGATCCAACATGGGGCTGAGAACTAGAGATGAAGCCAAAAGGAGCTGGGTGAAGGCAAGACCTGCCAGGGGGTGAGGAGATGGGATGGGGGCACAGTGAGAATGCTGGGAGAAGGGCTAGAATGTTCCTGTAGAAATGACTAGGTTGGCTAAAGTCTTCTGTCCCGTAGCCTACCAATTAGTCATTCTAAGCAGAGGATGGACAGACAATCATCACTCTGGCTTATGAAACATTAGGAAGCCTACTGTAGTTGCCGGCAGTCTTGTTGGGCATTTGACTATAGTTTTGAGGACCTTGGAAAACCTAGATTGGTTCTAGGGGCTTTCTCAGGACTTTGCTTTTCTCTGAAATGACAGAATATTTTGGATGACCACAAGTTTTGTGTGATCTGAGTTTTGAACCTCAGAGAGATTGCAAGATGGAAATGAATTCAAGAAAATTGCAAAGCTGAATCAAGATGTTTAACAATAGATAAAACTTAAATTAAAATCATAATTTTAGAGCAGAAAGGGACCTTAGAAATTATTTATAGTCCCTCACCTACAGTCTAAGCTAGAGTCTCAAAAATAATGTTCACTATTGTCTTTAAAAGTGTTTTTTTATCATCAAGAATATTTCTATATATTTTATAGCAATTAAATCTTCCTTTTTGTAATAGATTGAAACCATAGAGAAATGCTTTTTTTTAAGATTTATTTATTTTAGAGAGAGAGAGAGAGAGAGCATGGTGGGGGGTGGGGGAGAGGCAGAGGGAGATGTAGGGAGAAACTCAAGCAGACTCCAAACCAATGCAGGGCTGGATCTCATGACCCTGAGATCATGACCTAAGCCGAAACCAAGAATCGGGTGCTCAACTGACTGTGCCACCAGGTGCCCCTCATAGAGAGATGTTAAAGTTTATAATAACCACTATGCCTCTTATTATAAACCCTACTGCCATGATAATATTCAGTAAGGAACAAAATAAATTGAGATACTTAGATATAGATGACAGTATAAAAAACAATCAAGATCTACTGCCAAAAAGTTAAAAAAAAGTTATTTTAAATGATGTATTTGAGAATTCCAATGGGAAATTTATAGCCTTGTTAATACTACTATTCTGTTGTGCCCCGTATGTATTAAGTACATATGAGATACTTAAAGAGTAACATCGCATCTGTTGCTGCCAGGGAGAAGAGCTGACAGGGTTACCGGAAGTCATATAGAACCAGTGATGAACATACCAGTGGGAGACATTTTTAGGAAGCATAGAAAAAGAAAATTTTTACTTTAAATCTGAACATTGACCATGCCCAGAGAAGGACCGAGGATATTCACCTATTAAATTTTCAGTCTAGCATGAGCAAATGAGCAACCATAAACATTAAGGTAATAAAAGAGAGAGATCCATGAGGGATCAGGATTTCCATTAGCTATACCTGGCTAGGTTTTTCATCAACTCTCTATTTAGAGAAGAAGCGACACTAACACCAGGACCAAAGAAACCTGTTCAATATTATTTTTAGTTTGTATATATGTATTTATGTTTATAAATAGAATTATAATCTCATTATTCTATTATCACTTTAATTGAGAGAGGTAGGATTATGAGCTGAAGACACTGGATTAATTTGTAACAGATTTTTCTTCAGCAATCTGAGTATCTCCTGGCTCATTTGCTTCACTGTTTTTTCTCATTAATTTGAGCATGAGGAATATTCTTAAAAACATAGTACAGTATCAGTCACAGAGACATAATCTGAAATAAAATCATATTGTTTTCTCCACATAAAAAAAGACTAAAACAGTATCAACACATCCTAACCAACCTGTTTTCCCTGGAGAATAAATTTTCTGCTCACAAAATAGCTGTACATTCCATCTTGTTCTAATTATAGTTTAAGTCACATAATGGACTGTGAAAAGAATGTTACATGCCAGTGTACCTTGTCCTCATACTAAACAGCTTTGGAGCACACTGCAGTAAATGTCTGTTTGTCATTCCTTGTTTAAAATACGATTCTTGTGGTTCCTTTGGAGGTAGCCAACTACAACTTCAATGCTATTAAGTCATTCTTTGTTTCTTCTTTTAGATACTGTTGGGTAACTTTAAATGTGCATCACTTTCCAATATAAGCCCTCATATATTGTAGATTTATAGTAGCATTCTTTGTTTTTTTGCAGTAAAACTATGGAAGAAAATTTATGAATCATCTGCTCAGTGTGCAAAGAAGAATGACACATTTAAAGTGTATTGACATCACTGACCAACTAGTTAGTAATGTAAGAAATTTTCTAAAATAAAAAAATAAAAAAAATCCTGATCTGGATGTCTGTCTTGCTGAATTAGCTAATTTAGGGAAATGGCTCCAAGAAAGACAGATGAGTAATATGCATGCCCAAGATGACAGAAGTATGTGAATCATTTCTATAAAAGCGGAGCTTGTCCCTCCGGTCTTACAAACATTCAAGGCTGATTTTACATGGGATGAATGAAAACATTTGTGCTTTGCTGGTTCAGAGAGAGAGCTGCAGATTACAATGAAGGGTTTGCCACTACAAAGTTTTCTCATTAGAAATCCTCATTTATTTAACAATTTAGCTATACACTCAGGCTTGTGTTGGACTCCTGGGGTCTGAGTCATATGCAAAGATAAACTCTAATAGGAAATATCCATGGACCATTTGGATTTGTAGGAATGAGAAAAAAAATGACCCAGGCTAAAAACTAGTGATGAATATGAGATATGCAAAAGAGGGTGTCTTCTGGTGAGTGAGAGGCACACCAGGGGTATTTGGTCTTCTTGTCTCTGCAATTTATTAAAATTGATAAAGGGAAGTTACTAGTTATCTCCAATATAAGTCAAACCTCTATGAGAAAAATATATTAAGCCTGAAAGTAAATTATTCCCCACTGCCAATAAGTGCTCATACTTGTCTAGTAGCTAATCCTTGAACTTGTGCATACCTATCTTATAATGACTGAAATGAGAAAAAATGGTGCCTGAAATACAAACATCACCAACTTAAATGCATAAAAAAGAGCAAAGGGAAATTTGAAACATTTTTGTATAGTCAGGCTTAATGGCACTTTGTCCAATGATTATTTTTTTCTAAAAAATTTTTTTTAAAGGTTTTATTTATTTGTCAGATAGAGAGAGAGAGAGCGCAATCAGTGGGAGTGGGAGAGGAAGAAGCAGGCTCCCTACTGAGCAAGGAGCCCAATGCAGGACTCGATCCCAGGACCCTGGGATCATGACCTGAGCTGAAGGCAGATGCTTAACTGACTGAGCCACCCAGGCATCCCTAAAATTTTTTGATTATAGTTATAAATGTTCTGGAAATCCCACACTGCTTTGACCATCTTTCTTTACTAACTGTCTAGGAATGCAAAAGTTTGGAGTTTATGGAAATTCCTTTTTTGATTTAGTGCCATATAGAGATTGCTGAGAAGAAAATATGATTCTGTTTTTTAAAAATAAAAAAGTTCATAGATTCTTTGGAAACCAATCAGTGACAAGCAGCTACATCTAAAAGAGAAGAATGAGGCATCCCTTAATGAATCTATGAGCATTATATAAGTAATTTATTGTGCACTGGAAATGGTTAAGTAGAATAGTCCCATATGAAGCCATGGTTTTACTATTAGAATTCCGAAATGAGAGAAGATAAAGACTAGAAAGGAATGGCCTCCTGGGAGAAATCCAGGTGTGCCAGATAGTCTTTTATTAACTTAAAATTTTTAAAAAAATTTAGTAATACACATCATTTATGGAGTATTTTCTATGTGCCAGATACTGTGCTAAGTATTTCACATGTTCTATACCAGGCTTCGTGCTAAACGCTTCTCGTTAGGTAATCACAGTGACGCTATGAGGTAGGTACAGCTATTACTGTGTCCATTTTGCCGGTGAAGAAATGAAGACTAAGTGGCTTGTTTAAGTGGCAAGTTTAGGGATGCCTGGGTGGCTTAGTCGGTTAAGCGTCTGCCTTCGGCTCAGGTCATGATCCCAGGGTCCTGGGATTGAGTCCCACATTGGGCTCTGAGCAAGGAGCCTGTTTCTCCCTCTGCCTGCCTCTGTCTCTCTCTTTCTGATAAATAAATAAAAATCTTAAAAAAATAAAAATAAATAAAATAAGTGGCAATTTTAAGTGGCAAACTTAAGTGGTTTGCCTAAGGCCACTCAGCAATGATTTGTGTCTGTATTTGCCTAGCTTCAGAGCATATGTTCAACATGCAACATTGTAGAAATCGTAACAATAAATGCCCTTATTTATTAAAAGCAAACAAATCTTTTAAGTACAATTATTTAAACTGAGCAGAGTTTGATTCCAGTTCAATGCTGTTGCATCACTATTCATCACTATTCTTGGGAATCACATCCAGCACAGAGTATGGTTACTTAATAAGAAGTATTATGAAGTTATTTCTTGTTCTCCTGCTCCCTCCTCTCTTTTCTCCTCCTCACACTCATGTCATCATCCTCATCAACATTATACATTCTTGGCTTTAAGAATTATTTAGTTCAATACTCTTCTGAAGTTTCAATTCTCCTTTTAACATTCCCACCTAGTGCTTGAATATCTCCCATCAGGGAAAATTTCTCCCTACTCGTGCTGCCAATTACATTTTTGGACTGCTTTGACAATGAGGAGTTTATCTTATATTAGAGCTAAGAATTTCTTCCTGTGACTGAGTTTCACCTGCTATTCCTAGTATAACTGCATGGCCTCACAGAATAAGCCATTCTCGAAATGCATTTGCTGAGTAGACCAAGTATATTTCCTATAGAATAAGGTATTTGTTAAGTAAATATGGTAAAAATTTCACGATTTTGTACTATTAGTAAATGGGAAGAGGACAGGTGAGGAGGAGAGGAAGGGGGGCAAAGGAGAGAAGAGCAAAGGAGAAAGAATTCTAAAGTCTTTGACATAGACTATTTTGAAATGAATGCAATGCTATTCTTCTATGAAGACCCAGCAAGCAAGTGGTTAAAAATAGAAGGCCACAAAATTTCTCAGATACATCAAAAAGTCTAAAATCTTCAACTAGGCGCCTGGGTGGCTCAGTCGTTAAGCGTCTACCTTCGGCTCAGATCATGATCCCACGATCCTAGGATCGAGTCCGGCATCGGGCTCCCTGCTCCGCTGGAAGCCTGCTTCTCCCTCTCCCACTCCCCCTGCTTGTGTTCCTGCTCTCACTATCTCTCTGTCTGCCAAATAAATAAATAAAATCTTTAAAAATAAATAAAATCTTCAACTAGGTTTTTTTTTTCTGTTGTTGTTGTGTGGGGTTTTTTTGTTTGTTTGTTTTGCAAATGATACCACCACATGCTTGCTTAAAGACAACTATCTCAAGACTCAAGAGGCAGCTGTTTTTCTTTTTTTTTTTTAATATTTTGTTTATTTGAGAGAGAGAGAGAGAAAGAGAGAGAAGTGGCTGCATTTCTATATTGGATTCTTGTTATTGTTAGTTTACTTAGCAAACCTTTTTTCATACATATTACACATAGAATGCTGGGCAGTTTCAGGACTGAATACTACCAAAGTTTGAGTTAATGGGATCTGATGATTTACAGAAAAGTTTAAAAATATTTTCATGTTGTTAGTATTCTTTCTGAGATATAGTAATTGTCCACACAATCCAATTTCAGTTATATTGTTTCAGTTTTCAAAATGTGGTACTAATAATGCTCATATTATAATAATGTACCTAACACAGAGTTAAGTGCATATTAAATATTCAATAAATACTTGTTGAATGTAATTAAGTTGAATTAAATCAGGTAATAGATTAATTTTTATGTGGACTAGTTGACCTTACAGATGAAAAATGTTTCAAAGTCTAAATTGTTTCCTCTTGCAATTTATCAAAAAATTTATTCATTATGCCAATTAATCAATAATAAAGGTAGGAGTACTTATTTTGTTTTTTCTATTTCAAGTTTTTATTTAAATTCTAGTAGCTAACGTATATGGTAAAATTGATTTCAGGTGTGGAATGTAGTGATTCATCACTTACATATAATACCCAGTGCTCATCACAAGAAGTGACCTTAACAACCATCCCTCATTTAGCCCATCCTCAGCCCACCTCCTTCCTTCAACCTTCAGTTTGTTCCCTGTAGTTAAGAGTCTCTTATGGTTTTCTTCCCACTCTCTTTTTTTTTTCTTCCCCCATGTTCATTTATTTTGTTTCTTAAATTCTGAATTATGTCTTAATTTTAGCTGGACACCACACAAGGACCTAAAGGGAACACAGATATAAGATTGGAATAGTTTAGACCTGATACTGTAAGACTCCTAGAAGAATACATAGAGAAAAATCTCTTCAACATTGGACTTGGCAATGATTTTTTGGATGTGACACCAAAAGCACAAACAACAAAAGCAAAAATCAACAAGTGGGAGTATATCAAACTTAAAAGCTTCTGCACAACAAAAGAATAATGAACAAAATAACTCAATAACAAAAAAACCAACTGATCTAAAAATTGGGCAGAGGATCTGAAGAGACATTTTTCCAGAGGACATATAGATGGCCAACGAGTATATGAAAAGACACTAACATCACTAATTTTTAAGGAAATGAAAACCAAAACCATAATGAAATATCACCTCATGCCAGTTAGAATGGCTATCATCAAGAAGAGATAACAAGTGTTGGAAAGAATATGGAGAAAAGAGAACCCCTCTACACTCCCACTGTTAGTATGAATGTAAATTGCTTCAGCCATTATGGAAAATAATATGGTGATTTCTCAAAAAATTAAAAATAGAGCTTACCATATAATCCAGAAATTCTATTTCTGAGTATATACCCAAAGGGAATGAAAAAGGGATTTCAAAGAGATATATGTACTCCTATGTTTATTGTAGCATTATTCACAATAGCCAACAAATGGAAAAACCTAAATGCCTGACACTAGATGAATGGATAAAGAAGATGTGTGTATATACATATGCATACACAGAGTGGAATATTATTCAGCCATGAGAAAGAAGGACATCTTGTCATTTGTGACATGGTTGGACCTTGAGAGCATAATGCTAAATGAAGTAAGCCAGATAAAGAAAAACAAAAATAGGTAATATCACTTATATGTGGAATCTAAAAAAGCCAAATAGGTAAAAACCATAAAATGGTGGTTACCAGGGGCTGGGGATTGGTGTGATTGGCGAGATATGGTTTAAAGGTAAAAACTTGCAATGAGTAGTAAACAAGTCCTAGAGATCTAATGTACAATATCATGAATATAAACAATATTCTA